GACTCCAGAATTTGCTCTTTACAGAGAGTAAGGTAAGATTAAACTCAGAAATTCTTGCCCTCAGGTCCATGAAAAACGTGTGTTAATACATCCTTCCAGTCATTTCTAACAATTATTGTATACGCTGATAACTCTGCTTTTGGGCCTGCTACCCACTTACATGCATATTTACGTCTCTACCCAATGACGCTGTCTCATATTCCTACCTAATTGTATCCATCTTCCCTTTGTCTCTCCCATCCGGCTGCTCGATTCTTTGAGTACAGAAACCTTTCACTCGGAATCTTAAAGCTTTTAGAATTACATCAGAGGATGAAGCTGCTGGGAGAAATCTCAGGGATTATCTCTAGTACAACCCTCTGACTTCACAGGCAATGAGGAGGAAAGTTAGAGAAATGAAACTATTTGCCCAAAGTTACATGGCTAGCTAATAACAAAACTTGTTCTAGAATCTGTGCTTCTGACTCTCAGGCCAAAACATACTACCCAGCTTTTGTAAAACCACACTCCTCATTAGCCCCGCCCCCAACTATGATGCTTGTAGAGAGCCAGGTGCATAGATGTAGTTAATAGATAACTTGTAGAGCTGAACAAGGCTGGGACTAAAGCCAGAATTATCCCACATGCTTAAGGGAGCTGAGCATTTGGAAATAAGTTAATTTCCAGGCCCAGGGAACCCAACTTCGATCCCAGAATTACTCAAATCTATACTGCCCAATATGGTAGCTACTTGGCACATGTGGTTACTGAGCACTTGAAATGGGGTTACTCCAAAATGAGATGCGTTCAAAAAAAAGAAAGAAAAATATCTCATTTAATTGAAAAAAAAAAAAAAAAAAACACTGCGTTCAAGTTGATTCTGACCCACAGCGACCCTACAGGATAGAGTAGAACTGCTCCAGAGTTTCCAAGGAGCGACTGGTGGATTTGAACTGCCAACCTTTTACTTAGCAGCCAAGCTCTTAACTACTGCACCACCTGGGCTCCATATTTTGGGTATACTGAGTTAAATAAGATATATTATTAAAAGCACTTTCACCTGTTTTTCTTTTTTTTAATTTGGCTTAATAGAAAATTTTAAATTACATATGTGCCTGGCATAATATTTCTATTGGAGAGGGTTGTTTTAAAACACAGCTAACCCTCCTACCCCACCCACCACACAATCCTTCCAAAAAGACTTGAGTCTCTTGCTGGCAAACGTTACAGAGTGTGAAAAGAAAAAGTGTCCAGGACAAGCTCTTATCCTAAAGTTAGTTCCTGAGCCCTAAGGATTAGTTACTTATCCCGCCCCTGCTAACTGTCCTGTTCTGTGCTGCATGCTAGAAGCCACACTCAGCCCCTTCTGCTCAGCCTCCCCTAAAAACAACTCACAGTGACCCAAGGGCCTATTTACTCTGGACAGAGTTGACCAGCCTACAGAGAATTTATATTTCACTTCTATCGAAACTCCCATACATTACAAAATTTTTCTCTGCTTCTCAGATGATTGTTCCTGAAAATCAAGAATCAGGTTGGTGAAGGCCACTGGTTGTCACACATGTCACAAAGGCAGCATGTCCAAGGGACCACATTCTAATTATCTTTGAGGCTTGATGTACCTTCTCCTTTTCCTGCCTATTCCCCACTCCAGCCATCCATGCAACTTTTTAATAACCTTGATCATTTATAAAATTGTTAATAACCACAACTATACAATAAGCATTTGAATGGAAGAAAGGAAAGAAATGCTACTGTCCAATAAGAGAAATGTTTTCAGAAGTGGTTTAACTTTTTTAATTCTTAAAAACAAATAAACAAACATATTTTTAGGACTCTTCAAGAATCTTGAAGATTTTGGTGCCTAAATGTAGGTTTAGCATGATAACCCTATGATCCACACGAAAAATGCAGGTCCAGTTTCTCCTTAAGAACACTTGTAAGTTCAGAACAATAGTTCTCAAAGTCTGGTTCCGAGACCAGCAGCAAGCAGCAGCACCAGGGAACTTGTTAGAAAAGCAAATTTTCAGGTTTCACTCCAGATCTATTGACTCAGAAGTTCTGGACGTGGGGCCCAGAAATCTACGTTTTTTAAGCAAGCCCTCCAAATGATCCTGATGCACATTCAAGTTTGAGAACCACTGGATTAGAGCATTAGACAAGTGGGCTTCCTGCCAATTATTCTGAGTCTGTGTGGTGTGATGAATTACTCAGTATGACCTTTCTCGCCATGGTCTTGTAACTCCCACCCAGGTGATTGGGCGGGACTGTGCAAATAAGATAATTGTGGCCCACCAAGGGGATTGGTCAGTTTTGCCTTAAAAAAGAGCCAACTCCAGAGCAGAAAGGAGAGCGCACCACCACCACCAAGGAAGGAGAGACCAGCAGGAGAGACTGGCAGCAGAGACCAGCAAGAGATGGCGGAGTAGGCTTCCCAGTCCACAGAGTGAGAAAGCTGAATGCCTTTGGGCAGAGACTGAGGACCAGGGAGAAGCCTACGCCTGACCCACGAATTTGGGACTTGCCCACCTCCACAACCGCACGATACACTTCCTTTATACAGTTCGTGAGTTGTGTGAGACACTGCAGCAAATCAGAGAACTCAAAGACAGGAGGGAGAGTACTGAGGCAGGAAGGAGTAGTTGATGTTAGAGATGATGGAGTGGTACAGCAGCTTGGAAAGGTTGGATATTTGGGACATCTTTAACCTCGCCTCATAGGAACCAACTTTGTGCTGATCCTTATAAAAGGAATTATTCATTTACTTTGAATGTACCACTAACAGATGGAATGCACACAGACCTCATCGTAACCTTAAACATTAAGACAGAGCTCTAGCCTCTGCATTGACCATCCATGAATTTATGTAAGCCACCTGAACCACCATTTTTAGCCCGGCAAGTTGCATAAACTCATTTTCATATGCCTAAGGTAGAACTCTCATCTGTTTTTAAAACTACCTATTTTGCAGTACAAAAGGAGCTCCTGGTATATTATTCTGCAGTTAAGTGAACAAGTCTATCCTTGTCCTTATACTGACCATAATTCTATATGTATTAGATATCTTTTCTTGTTCTTTGGCTTTCCAAACTAGATTGGCAGTCTGTCCACATTATCCTCATATGGAAATCCGAAGCTGAAGAAAATGAAATAAAATTGCTAGAAGAAACCTTAAGTACTTGTTTCTGGGATCAGATATCCTGAAGTATATGCATAGTGACCCAGTCATCAGAAGAATGATTAAAGCAATTGTAGGGCTGCCAGATTTAACAAATACAAATACAGGACACTCAGTTAAATTTGAATTTCAGATCAACAACAAATTATTACATGGGTCATACTTATACCAATTATTCATTGTTTATCTGAAATGAAAATTTAACTGGGTGTCCTGTATTTTCTCTGGCAACTGTAGAACTGGGAAAACTAACCTTTGAGAAGGTTTTGGGGGAGACAACTGGCCTCAAATACTTAAAAGGCTGTTACGAGAAAAATGGGCCGATATCAATATAAACCCAGAGAACAGAATCCATGGGTAAAAATTACACGAAGAGGAGATTTGGCTCAGTTAAAAAACCCGTTGCTATCGAGTTGATTCTGACTCATAGTGACCCTAAAGGACAGAGTAGAACTGCCCCACAGGGTTTCCAAGGCGAGGCTCATGGATTTGAACTGCCAATCTTTTGGTTAGCAACCATAGCTCTTAACCATTATGCCACCAGGGCTCCAACAGAAGAAAGAAATTTATAAAAAGTTTGAGTCATCCCAAGAGTCGCCTTGGTAATCTCATGGGCAAGGACTTCCTTATCTCTAGAGATAGTCACGAGAGACGTGTTGAGGATGCTTGGTGGAAGTTGAGACAGTAGGGTTGGTTGAGTGGTTTAGGCTAAAAGATGTATAAGGCCTCTCTGACCTGAAGGCCTATAAAGTCTAAATTGCTTTAGTTGCCATTCTCTAGAATTTTTCTTCCCCTTGAACTATGCAAAGTATTCTGGGTCTATATGGACAAACTATCTCTATACATGGGTTGATCCACAACCAACACCCATGGAAGCAGCAGTCAAGAAATGAAATGACACATTGCATCGGGCAAATACACTGCAAAAGACCTCTTCAAAGTGTTAAAAAGCAAAGATGTCACCTTGAAGACTAAGGTGCGCCTGACCCAAGCCACAGTGTTTTCAATCACCTCACATGCATGCAAAAGCTGGACGATGAATAAGGAAGACTGAAGAAGAATTGATGCCTTTGAATTGTGGTGCTGGTGAAGACTACTGAATATACCATGGACTGCCAAAAGAACAAACAAATCTGTCTTGGAAGAAGTACAGCCAGAATGCTCCTTAGAAGCAAGGATGGCAAGACTATGTCTCACATACTTTGGACATGTTATCAGGAAGGATCAGTCCCTGGATAAGGACATCATGCTGTGTAAAGTGGAGGGTCAGCGAAAAAGAGGAAGACCCTCAACGGGATGGATTGGCACAGTGACTGCAACAATGAGCTCAAGCATAACGACCATGGTGAAGATGGTGCAGGACCAGGCAGTGTTTCCTTCTGCTATACACAGGGTCACTATGAGTTGGAACTGACTCGAGGGCACCTAACAATAACAACATACATGGATGAGCTAAATATGGCAGGAAAGAACCGTGTTCCATAAAGGAAAAAAAAAAGGCGGGGGCGGGGGGGCGGTCTCAATCTAACTTGTGCCAGTCCTACCGGTAGAGTTCTAACTAAAAACATTTGTGTGCACTTCTACGTGTTTGAAAAAGCTGGTGGTTAAGAGCTCGGCTGCTAACCAAAAAGTTGGCAGTTTGAATTCACCAGCCGCTCCTTGGAAACACTATGGGGCAGCTCTACTCTGTCCTATAGGGTCACAATGAGTTGGAATTGACAGGATGGGAACGAGTTTGGTTTTGGTTTATCAAGATTATGGATGGATATGTCCCAAAGCATTTCAATGATTAGAAAACCTTTAATTGTTTTCAAATGTAAAATGGATAAATAAGGAAACTTACTCTTTGTCCTGCTGTCCACTTCTGTTTTTGAAGACTCTTGAGTTGCTGAAGTTGGAGGTAACTTCTTCCCAATAGTCTGGGGGGAAAAAAGATGATTTTGCTTATTAAGCGAAGGAATAAAACCAAAATCATAAAGACAAGATGCTCAAAACAGGTTGTAAAACCAGCCACTTGAGTTTTTTCACTGCTCTGTGTATTGGCTGACAGTCTTTAATAGGTCTGAACCTCAATGACAAATGAGTGGGAAAACTTAGGTAAAAAGAGCTTTATCCTTGTTAGCACTCAGTACCTTTTCTTCCTTGATGTTCTTCTTAAAAGGTTCACTATTTTTTGCTGAGAAAATAGGCACACTTCCCTCTTTTTATGAGAAGCTGACTAACTTACGTAAGCACAGTGTCTGGCCCACAGGAGGGGCTCAGAAGTAGCTGCAGAGTGAAAGGATGATCATAGAGGGAAGAAATAAAAAGACAGAAGGAAGGAAGGGAAAAAGGATGGAAGGCCAGAAAGACAGATGGCAGATGGGCAGATGGAAGGACAGGCAGAAGCCAGGGTGTCCAGGGCAACTGTGCCTTACTGAGCCATCTTCTAGCCATCTAAGTTTCAGTCCAACTCATAGCTTACAAGTAACTGCGCTCGTGGCCTCTTGGCCAGGTCCATCTGCCCCAAAGTTGAAAACAGGACTGGCAGCTCCCTTTCCACCCGTCTTTTAACCCTCCACGGCTTTGGAAAAGTCCAACTCCTCAGACCCTAGGCTTCTCTTTACTGGTTAAAAAAGAAAAAGAGAAAGAGTATGAGTTTGTTTTCAGTTGATTTTCTTCCCTTCATTTGAAGCTAATTCCATCATCGTCCATGATTTAGGAACCATCCTAGAGAAGACAGGATAGTGTCTCTACCCAAAGATGTTCCTGAAAACACAGGCAACTCAGCAGCTCAAAATACAATGATGGTTCCAAAGGTGAGGTCCGTTCCTACTCCTCTCCTTTGCCACCACATCTGTGTAATCATGATTAATGTCTGAGGAAAATGTCTATTGATACCAGGGACACAGCTGTCAAAGCCACGCGTAGTTGGGTCAGTCGGCCTGCCCAACAATGAGAGGTTTCGCCAGTGAGAAATCTGGCCCCTAGGAAAACCAAACCTATCTGCCTTTAACACATGAAGAGGGATGAAGCACATAATTCAAACAATGGCATGGTGGACTTGGTCTGCAGATAAGACCAATTCACTACTGTTTTTAATTTGAAAAAATTCTACATGCTTCAAATGTAGAAACTAACATTAAATATGAATAAATCACAGAAAAAGGAGAAGATAAATCAAATCCTCAGCCCTTCATGAATTTTTAAAGACATTTGGGACAGAAAGCCTTTAAGTTTTACACGGTGACATTTTTATTTAGTGCCAGAGGGCTTTCTATATTGGACAAAAAATGAAACTCAAAATAACATTCCATCCCCCCCACTGCTGCTAAGTACTCAAACTAATAACATTCTAAGATTCCAAGGAAACGTCAGGGAGGAAAAAAGCTTGATGTTATTCTGCAATAAGGTCAAATTTGATGAAAAGCTGTTTTTAGGACTACCTTGACAAATCAGGCATTGACACTAAAAAATAGAAGCTCTCAAAGTAATCACATTCCTTTTTACACTTCTACCAGCCTTCCCAACCATCCCTGCCAATCTCTTCGTTCTTCCCTTTTGGGGACCAGAAGAAAGCATCACTACTGCTAACACAGAGCCCTGATGGCGTAGTGGTTAAGAGCTTGGCTGATAACCAAAAGGTCAGCAGTTTAAATCCACCAGCTGCTCCTTGAAAACCCTATGGGACAGCTCTACTCTGTCCTATAGGATTGCTTTGAGTAGGAATAGACTTGATGGCAATGGGTTTGTTTTTGTTTTGTTTTGTTTTTTGACTGCTAACACATTAGGAACAAGAAAACAAAAACATCATGTACTTCGGTGATTACTGACAGCGGAGAGGACACCAGGAAACGCAATAGTAAACACTATTCCCAAGCCAAACTCTGTTTGCTTTCCTGAAGGAAATTAGACATCCAATGGTTTGATCCTTAAACCATGCCTTCCTTTAGAGAAACCTTTGCAGGCTGCATACTCTTACTTACAATTCCCCTTGTATGGTAACAAAGGAAACCCTGGTGGTGTAGCGGTTAAGAGCTACGGCTGCTAACCAAAAGGTTGGCAGTTTGAATCCACCAGGCGCAGGCGCTCCTCGGAAACTCTATCGGGTAGTTCTATTCTGCTCTGTAGGGTCGCTATGAGTCGAAATTGACTCGATGGCAACGGGTTTGGGTTTTTTTTTTATGGTAATAAAAGAAAGTGCTGCTTATCATCTCTGATGTCCCAGCTTACTAATCCATTCAAGGTAACGGACAGCAAGAAAAACCACCTCCATAAAGAGAAATGAAGTCCTGATACATAGTACAACATGGACGAACCTTGAAAACATTATGCTGAGTGAAATAAGTCAGTCACAAAAGGACAAATACTGTATAATCCCACTTATATGAAATATCTAGAATAGGCAAACGTATAGAGACCAAAGTTCATTAGTGGTTGCCGGGGGGCAGGAAGAAGGGGGAAAGGTGGAGTCATTGCTTAGGGGGCAATGAGTTTCTGTTAAGGGTGGTGGAATAATTTGGAAATGGGTAGTGGTGATGGTTATACAGCATGATGAATGTAATTAACGTCACTGAATTATACACGTAAAAAAAGTTGAAATGGCAAATGATTTGTTATATTTATTTTTACCACAATTAAAAAAAAAGAGGGGGGGGAAGGCCACCTGTTAAATACACTTACCTCTATACAGGAAGACATGAAAAAGCAAAGCTTAATTCTTTCTTTTTCCTCACTATTTCAGAAAATACACTACACTGGCTTCTATGTGGATCCTAGCAACAGGGGTGGTGGTGAAGCTGATATCACACCCATCTTCCAGGGAGAGCTGGGACCCTAATTCCTCCCTTCTTTTTCAATGGGCCATGATTAAAATAATGGAGGAAATCGAAAACATCATGCTAAATGAAAGAAGCCAGACACAAAAGGTCACATATTATATGATTCCATTTATATGAAATGTCCAGAACAGTTAAATCCATAGAAAAAGAAAGCAGACTGGTGGTTTCCACGGGCTGGAGGCGAGGGGGTAAAAGGAGTAACTGCTTAGTGGGTATGGGGCTTCCTCTTGGGGTTATGAAACAAGATAGTTTCAGAACTAGACAAAGGTGGTGGTTGCACAGTTTTGTGAAAGTACTACATGCTACTGAATTGCTCATTTTCAAATGGCTAATTCTAATGTTATGTGAATTTTATTCAATTAAAAAAAAAGAATAGAAGGTTGCCTTTCCTCCCCTCCCAACCTAGCCCTCCAGTGTTTCTGAGACAGAAACTGTTCAGGTGTGTCTCTCTTATCTAGGACCTAGACCTAGAGCAGTGGGGTCCCTGGACTGGCAGCACCAGCAGCACCTGGGAACTTGTTAGAGATGCAAATTCCCAGTCCCCACCCCAGACTAACTGAATCAGAAACTCTGGGGATGGTACCCAGCAGCCTCTGTTTGAACACACCCTCTGTCTGATTCTGGGGCACGCTCAAGTTTGAGAATCACTGACCTAGATCATAGTAGGTGTTCCACTACACCAAAAACCAAACCCATTGCTGTTGAGTTGATTCCAACTCATAGCAACCCTATAGGACAGAGGAGAAGTGCCCCATAGGGTTTCCAAGGGGAGGCTGGTGGATTCAAACTGTCGACCTTTTGGTTAGCAGCCAAGCTCTTAACCACTGTGCCACCAAGGCTCCAAGGTATTCCACTAGTATTAATCAAATACCTTTTCCTGGATTAAAAACTCAGGTGCCTATTCTCATACCTCAATTATAAAACATCTTCTCACTCTCTCTTCTCTCCCTCCTTCTACCTCCTCTATTCTCACCGGTGTAAAAACTTGTCACTGCTCCTCAATGAGTCAGTTCAGAGAGAAACTTCAGACAATGTGACAACATTGCTGAGGAAAAAAAGGGCTGCACAGGGCGGCCATGAGACACTTCACCAACAGAGTACTAAAAGGATGGGTGAGTGGGTAAATGGGTGGATGGACAGATGGTTTTGAACCAAATATGGAAGGCTGTATTTATCCTTTCCGGGCTCAGACCATCCCGAAGGCCACATGGGCAGATTCCCATGACTGTAGTAATCTTCAGGGACAGCCACGCCCTGCTGTTCCTTCCTGGTAGTCCTGATTACTGGAGTTTGAGGTGGGAGTTTTTTTCATTGTAGAAGACTGTCCCACACACTCAAGGAGCTTTAGCAACCCTAGCCCCTACCTGCTAAAAGCATGTAGTGTTTCCTAGCTTCGTGTCTACCTCAAACCCCCTCATCTCTTTCCTAAAACCACCACCCCCCCAGTCAAGAACTTCTCACCCCTGTGCAGTAGAAGCTTGTCCTTCCTCTAGATGCAAGAACAAAGACCAAGGCAATGAATTACTGCTCTCCCACCAGCCTGCCAACTCCCTCTACCTCTGAACACATCTTTAGTCCATTGGGATTAAAATGAACAGAAGCCCACAAGCCCACATTTTAAAGGGCATGCATCATGAAAGCAAGGCACACATACAGTACACACACAGTCACAGAGGTCAAGTATAACTGAATGTCAGCTACTATGCAGGCCGAAGTGGACAGAAAAACTGGGAGTCACATCCGTATGCCTCTCATCCACCTGACAGGTGGCAAAGAAACACATTAGGCTTGTGATGGGTGGGGAAACAGATTCAGGATCTCCACTCTGGGCATCCTGGGCAGAGGTCCAATTTTTCCGGCACGCCAGATAGAAGATGACTTATCCAGGACAAGCACCAACCATGCCTTATGGGCTGTGATGACGCTGCACAGGACGCAGCTTATTCACCTTCTAAGAGATCTGCAGACAGGCCATTTTCCGTATGCCTTCTGAAGGAACACACTTGGGCTCCGCACCATAGCTCGGCCCAATACCTCCTCTTTCCTTCTGCACTGTGACTAAAGAGTTCCTAGTCCACACATCCACATTAGTCTGGTCT